GGATAGACAGACTGAGACCTTTCCCCATTTCCTAATTTTGTTGTCATGCCTTCTCTTTAAAAAAAATAGGCAAATTAGTAAGAAAGGAGGAGATATAAACAGTGTTCAAAGAAACCCTCACACTTTTTTCTGTTATGCCATCTTTTAGAGAAAAATATGATCCATCATTGAGATCCGGCTGCTACAAGATTGTTTGTTCATGTTGTCGATGTTATGTTGGTGAGACATGCTGACCTCATATTCGATTAAGATTGGTAGAACACAAAAATGCTTCTAAAGGAAGCTGCGTCCAACGGTCAGAAGTGGCCGAAAACGTAGCATAGGTTGAACATGAGAGAGAATATCCTCAAACTAGTAGGTCTGCTGATTATGGTACGTCTGTGGTTAAAAAAAAGACATTGAAATTATTAGATTAGGAAATGCGTTGAATGTGTGGAACAGTGGTAGAAATTTGAGTAGGAACAACTTATGCTTGATTGATAGATCGAAGGAGAGAGAGAGTGTATTGAGTCGCCATCCAAAAGAAGACGACTCAATTTGTCTGCTCGGTGATGGTTCTAACTTAACTCACACTCGTCCAACATGTTAGAGTAAACTCATCAAATAAACTAGAGTTGTCAAATTACGCAACCCCAGTCTTATCTGTCTTTTGGTGTTAAACGTTAATGAACCTAGACCGAGAGGTAAGGACAAGCGGTTTCGTAACTTGACTTACATGCTTAAAAGCTCATATCTCATTATCTCAACCACACTCGTTTACAGACTTACGAGTAGCTCGACGAATATGAAAGATAACTAACCAAACCACTCTCTATCCATCTATATAGGTTTTTAATCTTCTTTTCACTTAATTGACTCTATTTAAGACGTAAGTGTTAACATGAGACTTCTAAACGAATGAGACCCAGTTCTGATGATGTCCATCGAATGATGGACGAAAATTGAGGCCGTTTTCACCCGAAACGAGTGAGGATATCACGTCAACCTGAACGTCGTATAAAAGCAAAACGGCTGCAGTACAGCGAGATTTAGTCGTCCTCATCTTTTGAGATCGACTTTCGAATCCCTTCTTCATGCACTTTCACACGAAACGAAAGTTCCCCCAACCATGTTATTCTATTTATACATATCTATGTATTTTCCTACATATATATATATATATATACAATTAAAAGAGAGCGGAAGAAAAAAACTTAGAATAAGCATTTATATTAATATATATATTTCTATTTATATATTTTGCTTAAGTAAATATTTTCTTAGGGCTGCCAGATGTGAAACTGTGTAAATTACTACATATATATATATATATATATATGGCAGTTTTAGTTCTATACTTAATTTTAATTAATAGCTTTTAGAAGATTAGAACCCAGCCCTGACTGTCTCTCTGTTTTGCGCCAGGACATGCGAAGAATCTACTCTTTTCTGCCGAAAGTGAAAGAGGATGAATCTTGTTCTGTGTCCTTATTTGAGCGTCATTGCAACATCAAGCGACGGCTTGTCTGCCGTAATCAGCCGTCGTCTTCTGGCGAGATCTCTTCATCACACACACTTTCACGCGAAATGAAATTGACTACGATGACGTTATTTTACGAGATTATCTGAGACCCAGTTACCCTTTTCCATATTTATTTTGCTTCTATTTCCTTTGGCTGGTACTTTGGGCTACAAACCCAACTCTTCTGCCCATCCTGATCTGCCTTTTGGTTCGACTGGAAGTGCTATAGACCGGCAGAGACGATCGCGTTTGCCAGGAATTGCGTCTCTTCTGCCAGTAGGCTTTTTCGAGTCTCAGCCTGGACAAGGCGAAGCATCCTTTTCACCCAATAAACTCTTGAAAACAGCCCAGAAAAACGCGCATTAGTTTGTGCATTTTTCAGCTTTTTATCGGCTCTATCCAGCACAGCTGTAGTCGCATGTGGTCGCATGTGGTGGCATGTGGTCGCGTGTGGTCGCGTGGCTACAGCCTCGTCTGCTGCGAAGGGTCGACGCGGTCTGGGCTCGCCGGGAGCTCTGAACGCCGGCCCAAATCCAGCCCAGACTGCTCCGTCCCCACGGTCGGCTGTCGTGTTTGCTGGGACTTTTTCGACACGACACAACCTGTCTGCCGGCCAGTCGGACCAATTCTGCCAAAGCGGCATCTCTGGCTGCCTCCTGGTCACCGCGTGTGGACCGTCTGCCCTCTCTGGCGAGCTCTTTTGTCACGGCGAGTGGGCAGAATCCTAGCTCTGAGAGGCTCTTTCAAGCCCAACTATTCTGGCACACGAGGCCAGCGCAATCTTAGACTTGATGATACACAGACTGCACCCTACATGGTATATGTATTCACAAAGAAAAAAAGAACGAAACACATTGATGCAGATAGACAAATATAGATAATTGTAAAATGGAAGTTGTTTGACCTTTTTTCGCAACTTGATCATGTTGGGTAGGAAGACTTAGAATGTACCGCGTCCACGGTCCTACTCTGGAAATGATGATGCATACAATGGACTTCGGACTAGGTGCGTTCCTCTAAGTCTTCCTACCAGTAGGACCATGCTGCAAAAACAAGGTCAAACAACTTGTATACAACGAAAGGAGACTGCGACCACACAAAAGGTCACACCATCTTGG